AATAGTCCCCGCCACTTGTGGACTATATGAGAATGTTGTGGCCGCTCGTGGGGCAGGTCCGAGTGTAAATGATCTGTTCTCGATGATTCGTTTCTGATCCAACGTTTCATTGGGCGATGTCGCTTTATCCGTTTATTTGGTCAGATTCTTTATGATCGTTTTGGAGGTCGTACATTACCTGTAGCCCTAATTCGTGATTATTGAATTTAAACGGAATAGTCCCCGCCACTTGTGGACTATATGAGAATGTTGTGGCCGCTCGTGGGGCAGGTCCGAGTGTAAATGATCTGTCCTCAATGATTCGTTGCTAACCAATCGTTTCATTGGGCGGTTTAAATGGTAATTAGAATAAATAAATTGGTATCAGTGGTTTCTCATCGGATGCCTCATGGTTTTTTTATGCAGTTGCTTCGGTGGAAAGGTTCAATTCCTTTCGGTATCATTTGATACGGTGTTTCTTTATTCTTTGGCGGAATCTTGGAGTCCAAGTAGATTCGCTTATCTTAGCCATAGGTCCAACTTGCCTACCTGTACTTGAAGTCTTCGGTGAGCAGTCGTCGACTTTTTTATCCCCTCGTGAATCTTATTGTTCCGTCTTCCGGTTAGATTTGGTTTGCTTCGGTCTTGCAAGATAGCCGGTCCTCTTGCCTCTGGAAATATAAATAAGTCGCTTGAAAATTTCGTGTAGACGATATAAACGATGTTGAATTTGTTTATGGTTTAATTTGTTTCTAAACTTGGCTTTTTTTATTAGAAATATTAAGAACACTATTCGAGTATGAAACAGACTAGATCATATTATTCGTATTCGTAATGGGTAATTTCAATGTCTATTACTTCGTTATTTCTCACAATTACAGAAATATTCGAGTGATTTGTTTTATGATACAATCACAGAATCAAATCGTAATTGGTAAATTTTATAAAGCATATCAATATATCAATGTGTTACAATTTTAAATAATATTCTTTTCGAATGCGATTTACAAAACACGTAAATAAAATAAAATTAAGACATTTTTCGTTGTTTTTTTTTACTAGGTTTAATAACCAAATAAATTTTCTACGCTTCGCTGAGCTTTTTTATCACATCGCAAATTCGTAGAACGAATCAAATTAGAGGAATCCTTACCCGAAATTGGGCAAGAAGACTCCGAAGACGACGATCGATCTTATTCCACAACCAATCCAAAAATGACGCACCATTATCGACAAACGACTTTTTCGTATTATTGGCCATATGTTTTGGATCGTTATCTTGTTGAAAGATAACGTTATTGATAGCGGCTCGATAGTATCCATAACGATAATATAAGTCTTCTGTAAGAATTAATCGGTATACCTAACTCACCACCATTCATTGTCCCATCAATTTTGCAAAAGTTGCCAACACCACGAGAAGTAAAGCAACCCTATATCATCATCACGCCACCACCACCGAATTTAACTGTAGGCTTAACATGTGATTCATCCGGTCTTTTCCAATAATACTCGCGCCCAGCTGACCCAAAAACCTTGATTCATCGGACCATATTACCTTTGACCAATCTTCAAAGATCCAATTTTCGTATTTTTTAGCGAGTTCAAGTCGACATTTCATGTGCTCTGGCTTTAGGTATGGCTCTTTTCTTAAGATTTCTCAGTTTCGAGTAAATGTTTTTGAACTTGAACAGCAGTGGAACAATCACGAGAAGTGATGAGCCGAGCAACTTGTCTTTCTTGTCGCTAATTTAATATACGTGGACGACCGGGTTTGCTTGCATTCTGGAGTTTTTTCTTCACATTATCTCTTTTGTATATACGAGAAACCGTGGAAGGACTGATATTTCGCGTTCTAGCTATCTCTCTTGTAGTATATCCATTATTGAGTGAAATAATAATTTCGGCTCGTTCGTTTGGAGGGATTTTTGCGGCTTGCTTTATTTATTAAATACATGTAATTGCAACATAACGATAATAATATGTAACACGCAGTCATATACAAATGCGTACGACACGGTATATCGATATACGTATACTATTTATTCACAGCAATCATGCCTATTCGAGAATTCACCTTGTGTGTTTTTGAAATAATGGTAAAATATGTTATAATTTTCTTCTTTTGATATTATTGTAGTTCATGTTTTTATTGCAAGACACCTCATTCTCTTTGATTTTATCCAAATTGGTATATACTAAGATCGGAATCTTTTTGGCAAAGAAAAGGTGCTTTTTATTTTGGAAATATTTTGAAAAGTACCGTATTTTGCGGAATAAAAACCCAGGGGATACTATAGCACTCGGGATTGTGATTGGATGGGATATTAATTATACTCGGGGATATTTTGATTGAATGAGGATATTATGCAAGAGAATATTTATTACATGTATAATGATGAATAAAAAAATATCGTTTTTGTTGAACGTACTGTAGTAAGTTCTCCATTTTAATATAATCTTTCAATTGTTCAGCCAATTTGCATATGTTAAAAGTAGAGTACGAAAGTATCAACAATCCTACTTCAGCTATCATAATTGGTCGATCAGGTTGGTCGTCTAGTTTTAGTTATCATAGTTTGGAAAATGTGAATACTTTTTTATTTTACCTTTTCATAGGGCAAGACCACATGCATCGTGTATAGACTAATTGCTAGTGCTCCGCACGGTTCTGTCAACTCGAAACCGAACCGACAATCCGGTTCGGTTTCGAGTTGACCCAAAATAAATTAAATTTTTGGACTATGAAATGTCCGTTTTTACTAATAAAACCTCTATTGACTATAATAATTAAACTTGTTCACCATATATAATTCTATTATATGGCCAAATTTTGTAGGATTTCGGGTGCAAATGATTATTCTATGAGCTTCTAAAGGTCATTCATAAACTTTGAATGAGAAATCGGCCATAATACCAAGTTTTAATGTGCCAAATACTATTAATAAAAAAGATTTTTCTATTTCATTTCTGAATAACTAAAAATTTTCAAAATACATTGAGTGTGTGTTCACAAATTATCGCGTAAAACGTAAAACGTATTTGGACTTGGATGTATGCGGTTGCAAAATTCGCATGTTTTAGTTTAGATTATATTACATGTAGTAAGATTAGCAAATTGTAAAACCATAATAATAACGATAAAATCGTAAATTAATAATTGTGACAGATTAAAACGAAACCAGATTAAAATGAAGTCAGATTATAATAAAATCAAATCAAAATAAAATTTGGGATAAAATTTCAGAGAAGGGTTAGAGTTAGGTTAGAGCATAGAGTACATAGCATTAAAATCTGTAATATATTGACTTATGATTATTTAACATCCCACTCCGTTTCGTTTTAATCTGATTTCGCCACAATCTACAGTGGCTCACACATGTAACGGAACACGAAAATTAATTTTCTAGAATTTTTTGAAACGTTGAAACCACTTAAAAATAAATCGATAACAGATTATTTTGTGAAATAAAGTGATTTAAATCAAAATTTACAATTAGTAAATTTCTCACGTTGAAGAACTTTTTTTCTATGATAAATCCAAATTTGGACCACTAATTAAAAATGTTCTACTCTATGAAATCTACCTATTTATCAATTTTCATAAAAATCGGCTTAATTTTTATAGATATTTAAAATCCTAAAGACCGAATCTATGCTAGGACCATTAATACATGAATTAATGCTCCTAGCATAGATTCGGTCCTTCGGAGTCTCAAATTGGGTCAATTTTTATGAAAATTGATAAATAGGTAGATTCATAGAGTAGAACATCTTTAATTAGTGGTCCAAATTTGGATCCGTCATAGAAAAAAAGTTCTTCAATGTGAGAAATTTACTAATTGTAAATTTTGATTTAAACCACT